GTTTTAAACACATTTCCCCAGTTTGTTGTACTTCAACAAATCCCTAGGCAGTGATGTACCTGAAACACGTCATCAGTCAAGGTCAGTTTGAGCTAACCCTGCTGAGCTGGACAGGAGAACTCCACTTTTCTGTCTGCTAGCAGAGCCTTGGGGGAACTGGCAAAGCAGGTCTGTAGTCAGTGAGTAGTGCTGAAGCAACTAGGACAGTTTTCATCCTCAGCTGGCTCATCCATCTGTGCCATAATCTGGTTCTCTGAAATAAGAATGCATTTTGATAGGGTATTGCCTTTCAGCTAACAGAGAGAGAAGGCTTACAATATTTGTGTGATAGATGCATTTCCTTTCCTCTCTGCTACTGCACTTATTCTAAAACCCTGTTCCAGACTGTCTCTTAATGTCCATGTAGTTTGGAAATCCTTCAGCACTTGCATGCAAAACCAACAAAAGAACAGGTTGTAGATCTTTGTGGCCTGTTCTTTACTACAGCAGATACTGGCAAGCTGTGAATGAGAAATCAAAAGCAATGTTTTCTGAACAGTCATATCTATCACTCGTGCAGTAAGGAATCAAGTAGGATTTTCTTGCCTTGTTTTGACCGCTGGTGGACAAACATTAGCAGCCCTGGAGGAGCTTCCAGAGTTTAGCTGTTCTACCAGGAAAACAGCATAGATCTTACTTTGAGATGTTAATCTGGACTGGGGGTGGGGTGGGTGGATTTGTCTTAATATTTAAAGGTATATTGTATTGTCCCCAGCAGATAGGAGCAGCCAAACACAGCAGCATTTTTCAGTATTTATCCAAGACTGTAAGAATACTGGGCAAAATAAAACCCCCAAAGGCTTTTTTAAAATGAATACCTGTGTTGCCTAGATTTATCACTAGGGGTATCATGACACCCCAAACGGAAAAACTACATTCTCTTAATTAGATCTGCCCCTACAAAAATAGTAAGATCTAATATTAGCTGATCAGCTAAGCTACCCCAGAGTTACAGCACAGTCTCTCTTAAGACTATGCTAGGAATATATTTCCTTTTAATTAATGAAAACAACTAATGAAAAGAACCTTAACCTAATGCCGGAATTTGGGTGAGATCTAGAGCTAGATGATTTGTAAAAGTTAAAAGTTCTAAACTTCATGATGAGAGTTTTTCCCCTCTCTCAGCAATGAAAAACCACCTTGATCCATCTGACCTCTTTGCTCATGTGTTGTGTTCCAGTTCCTGTTGCTGTAGCTTTCTTTTTATCAGTTAGACAATAGATATTGGGATATACACAGCTACAAAAAGGACCAAATATTCTAGGCCCTTATGGTCTCCTACAACCAGTAGCTGACAGCTTTAAAGGTGGTGCAAGCCCTTTGAAAAGGAAAACAACCTCTGTTAAGTGTAAACCAAATACGTGTCTTGTTAGCTGGCTCTCCAGGCTAGCCCTTGTTTAGTGAGTTCCACCACATTTTCTTTAAATGCTTCCTGATCCCCCTTTTTTTTTTTGACTCTATTTAACAGTAGTTTTTTAGGAGGGTTGGGTTGTTTTTATTTTTAAGTTGTGGTTTGATTTGTAGGAGGCAGTGAGATGTATTTATGTCTTTTATATAAATAGGCTAACCATTATTGAAGCCTGGGCATGTGGGAGGAGGACAGGGGACACTTTATGTTTGCCCCTTGATCCTGTACTTATCAAGTGGCAGGATGATGACTTAATGAAAAGGACAGTGGAAAATTGGTAAACTCTGTTGCTCAAATTAGAAGTGGGGAAAGATAGCAAAGCAGGAGGACCATGGGGCCAATAAAAACATACTCCCTTTGCTGTTGTTTCACCTGTTCTGAAGTAGTTTTTCACTTATGTTTATTTATTAAATGGAAATGCCTAGTGTTGGTTCATTCATAGGCACAAAACCAACTATAGAACAAAAAATAGTAAAAAGTTCCTGCTTTGGGGACTTCACCCTGGCCTCCTCTTTGTCTGTGTTAGTGGGACTCTTTGTGGTGTTTTTTGTTTGCTTGAACTAAATTATATCCTAGGATGTGGCTAAGGTGAGGTGCTAATTTTAGGAATTGGCACAGTAATGCTGATTTTTTTTGTTTGTCTGTTTAAAGAATGTTTCTTGCACAGAAAATCCCATAATTGGCTGTCTGCATATATACTACACATCTTTATCCCATCCGGTACCTTCTTTAGCCCAGTGACCAATTTTATTATCATCCTCTGGAACTACAAAAAAAGGGTAATTTAAAATGGTTCTGTATCTTCTTTGTATATTCCACTAAAGATTTCTCCTTGCTAATTTAAGGGGCGGTTGCCAGTATCAGCAGTTGAGCTTTTGGAACCTCTTTTCTTTAACTGAAAATTCCATGGGAATAGGACTCTTCTGTCTTTATTTCAGGTTGGTAATAGCAGCATAGCATGGTCACTTGGTTACATGTTAAGCCTCACGAACATGATTCCAGCAGAAGGCAAGCTGATCCAATTACCCCTGAAGCCTCCTTTGTTTGCTGGGCTCCTCATCTTCCTCACAGCTACGGCACTGTTGTGTCTCCTCTTCCTTGTTTACTTGTGTTTTGTATCACATAATCGGAAGAACATCACTCGTGTTGAGCATGTGTTTATCCCAGAATGAATGAACTTTACTGAACGCAAAGCAAAAATTTTATAGTGCTATTAAGCTAAGTAGGAGTTCATTTTGCCCTCCATTTTTCAAATATAAAGACAAGAAAAACGGCTTCAGGACCAGAAGCATAAATAGAGAAGAGACACAAAGGAATCTGTGATATGGTGAACTGAAGTGCTTTTGAAGTATTTTGGCAATTGTTTCTGTAAACCTAATTTGTCCGGTGTGCAGCAGAGAAAAAGTGGGCAGATGTGTCACTTTGCTTTATAAGGGATTACTAGCCTTTGCTGCCAGGTATGTATTATTTTTTTGTTCATTAACTCTGTGCTAACTGGTAAAGTCAAGTGGTGATGGATTTTATCACAGCGTCAGTTGTTTAAGATAAAATTAAGTCAGTAGAAATTGTAGGAGGTGGTAACATGGTAGCTGTCCTTGTGTGCAGTGCTGACACTAAAAGCCCTGAAGTAATCTAATTTCTGAAACTGGAACAAGCACTGGATAATGACAAGAATTGAAAGGAACAACTGTGATAGAATTGTTTTTATTGCTGTTCCAAACAGATTGATCCCCACCACCAGAATACCTCTGCTATTGTACATAAGATTTGCTTTGAAGGTGGAACAAAATGCTTTCATGCTTTAGTAACTGAACCTAAATTTAAATGTCTCATAGTTACTTCCAGAAGCCACTGGAGTTTTCATTGTCCTTTTCTCTCTGACTTTCGCAGAAATACTTTTGGTATGATCTCATACTGAAACATTGACCTGTATTCCTCACATATTGTCTGTCTCAGACAGTCGCAGTCCATACTGATTTGTCATGTACGTATTATTTCAGCTGTCTGGATAGAGTGTCAGATCTGGAACCTTCCAAAGCATTAACATGTTAAGCCCTTCATTCAAGGCCAAGACAAACAGGAGCCACTCTGCAAGTCAGCAGAACACCTTTTCTGTAGTGGGTTTAGGAACACGTTTCTGAAGCTGCAGTCATGGCTGTAGTGCCTTGGTCAGGCCGTCTACTGTCCTGGCCTCAGCGTTCCTCTAGCAGCATTGGGATCCACCTAGCAGATGGTTCTGCCAAACATATTAACTTCAGAGCTTTTCTGGAAGTGCTGCTGCTTTCATACATCAAACAGCTGGCTTCCTGGAAAGCCCAGGCATTCTTGACAACAAAATCCAATAAATCATAAATCATAAGATTACAATTTTACTCACTGCTTGATTAATTCTTCATGGTCTTTTACCTGCCTGTCGTTTGTAGAGCCTTGGTGGTCTTCAGCTGGCTTCTGAAGTAACCCTTGAGAAAGTCTCCTGTCACATTCTCTGCCATCGCTTCTTTTTGTACACTGTTTCTTTAATTCCTTTTAATATTGCCATAACATGATCTGTGAAGCTGCAAGGGGAACAGAACCATATAATGGTTTGGGTTGGCACATAATGTGTTTTCTGTCTCAGTTTCATCTATTCTCCATATTGATTTTGAGATAGGAGAACAGTGGCCAGTATTTTTACCCATGAATAATGTTTTCAGTTTCCGTCTTCTGTTTCTGTATCACCTTCTTACTTACGTTTGATTGTGGGGTTGGGGTTTTGTTTTCTTTTGGGGTTTTTTCATAGGCTGACAGATGATTTGAAGGGAACTAAATATCTTTTAAATGGAAAAAAGAAGAAAGTGATTTTTCAAGTGGATCATTAGTGAAGGCTTTGTCCCTTCTTTGTTGGTATACTGTGAAGTCCTGTGAGTCCAGCTACTGGAGTAACAGTATTTAAAATAAGGCAGAAGGTATTATAAGATGATGAAGTGCTCTGTGGCATCAGAGTTACATCTTATAAAGTATAAAATTTACTTCACAGTGGAAGGACATTACAGAGGCTGGCATGAGATAAAGGCTTTATCTTCTGTATTATGGATTTGTAACTGCAGCTAGAGGGTAAAAATAAAAAACAGACAGTTGGATGAGAGCATTAAAATGTTTTCTGCAGTTGCCAAATTTTTGCTAAAAAATGGTATTCTGGAATATTTACTTGCTCTACAAAACTTTTGCTTTGTGAATGGCAAGGACATTCAGATGTGGTTTTACATAAGTGGAACACTCTTGGAAGTTAGTCTGTTTAGAGCTGGCAGCTAAAGAACAAATAAATTTGGTCAAAAATCATTTGGACTTCTAGATATACTGCAATAGACCCAGTATCTGTTCAAAGAATGCCTTCCCTCTATGAATCTCCTGTTTTGCTTTTATAGTAGTTCCCTCTTCTCCTTATGTGTATACTCTCCCTCATGTGTCACCAGGATGCCCACCTTATCCATCTTTCCCAGCTGAAAATGATAGGAGAGGTAAGCTGAAACTGTTGAACTTTAGCCAGGTAGGCCTCAGTGACCACAGCTAACTCTTGCCACACGGGTGAGTTGGAACCAGATCAGCAGGTGTAATATTGTCCTGCCATCGAGAACTGACCAGGTCTCTGGGAGAGACAGAGAAGTTAACAGTACTTGGGAATGTGTACAGACCATAGATTATTTATCTTTTTATACTCTTTAGTGCCTGCTTATGAAGATTAATAAAAATAAATTATGAAAAGTTAAGCCAAGTGTACTTTTTGATTTTTATTGTTTTTTCTCCAGTACCAATATTTTCATTCTGGTAGACAAGCTGTTCTTAATAGAGGGTTAGGAAATCTCTGAAATGGTTTGGGAGGGGGTGGTGTGGAAATTTGCAAGCTGCAAAACTGGTCCTGCAAGATTCTGGAATGGACAGGACTCATTATCTCCAGAATCCATGTTCTCAGCAAGGAAATCCTGGTGGTTAAAACCAAGCCCCTCTTCTAATACTTTTTTTATATATATATATATATACACACCCTAAACACAACTTCTGCTTTTAAACACATACATTTCGCTCAGGGACACCAGTGCTTTCTAAGGCTTTTTTAGGTTCGTTGCCATGTGAAGCAGTAATTCCCAGTTATCAAAGAACAGCTGATTGAGATACAGATTGGTTAGAAAAATAACTGTTGGGCACTGGAAACAGGGATAAGATTATGTAATATGCAAAACCTCACCTATGGAGAGGCAGCAAGAAATTAATCCGCCAGAAGCAAGACATGAGAAATGAAATGCATATGGATATTTGTGAAAAGTCACAAAACTTCTTGTACAGCAGTATGCAAACCTGGCAGAAGCAAGCATGATTCAGCGCTTATAAAGTCAACTAAGAGGACAGAAAATTAACACTGAGTATGATAGTCATTCCCCAATCTGGATGGCTTAAATTGTTCCTGTAATAACTGAATTTAAAAACAAATGTTCACTGGGATGACAAGACTGTTTATCACCAAAAGTGCTTAGCTATACTTCAGTTATGAGTGTTCTTCTGTGTAGGAAGAGGAAGGCCATATCTGTTTACTTGCTCAGCAACATTTGTACAGGTTAGTGTATGTTTTTAAAAGTCATGGGAGAAAATGTTTTTAAGCTTTAAGTCCTGAACTGTTTGATGTTAAGGAACAGCTTGAGTTTGGTGGTTTTTTATGATGACTGTTTGAGTCATTTATGATCTTAACAGATGCAGAGATGCTTTTGTGTGCAAGTTATATGATGTAGGACAAATGCAGCCCTCATGTTCACTAAGTTATCAGTGCAGTCCCTAGTGATGTTTGAGTACCTGTGCCACTGTTTTATGGCAAAAGTCATTAGAACGACCAGGAATTTAGGCAACCTCCCTTCCCTCCTCTTAAGTAGTACTGGAGAGTAATGTGGCAATAGGTGCTGAAAAACAAAACAAGAGCAGTCCTGCCCTTGTCTCATGAGCTCTTACATGGCATTCCAAGAACAGAACAAACACATTCTTCTGGCAGCAAGCAGTGTGACATCAGTGTGACACCAGTGTCAGTGCAGTGCCTTCTGCCACACATGGCAGGAACTGGGGCTCCACTAACAACACAGCTCAGGTGCTCGACTTCTGCACGAGGAGTGCTCCCTGTCCCTGTACTGCCCTGCACGTAAGGAAGGCAGAGTTAATTAAACTTTCTTTTTGTTTGTTTTTGCATCTTTAAACCTACTTTTCACCATCAGGTGGCATCACCCACTAAGCTGAGTTATAATGCTGGTTTTTGCCCTCTCCAGAAGTTTGTTCTGAACATGTGCAGCTCCTGTCTCCCTCCCAAGCCCATTTTGTGTTTGTTTTGCTGTATCCGGAGTACTGCCTTGTGTTCTGCCAAGCTGCTCTTTCAAATTCATGGCTGGTTCCTTGCTGCAATATGAAAACCCATGCACAATCTCAGCGAAGTCTCTGCTTTTCCCCTCGTTAGAGTGTTCTCTGCCTTTTGGAGAAATGTGTATTTTTAACAGTTTGTCTCAGAGGGCATTGTTTGTGCTCTGACAACTTTCTTTGGAGAGCCATCAGCTGCTGCTCCCCATCCTAGCCACAGCACAGGATGCACTCTCCTTCCTGAGTGTCGTCCTGCCCTTGGGACACCAAACCTGTTCCCGTGCCTGTGGTCCACAGCAGGCTGCAAAGCTGATACTGTGAGATTCTGGAGTGGACAGGGCTCATTATCTCCAGAATCCATGTTCTCAGCAAGGAAATCGTGGTGGAAATCCTGGACAACACTGAGGCTGTCCTTCACTCTGAACTCTTAAGGAACTGCGGCTTGCTGGATTCAGGAGAGCAGGACTGGCCCTGGGCAGCCCCTGGTCCCCATCACCCACCCCACACACCCTGCATGGACACCACGGCATCCCCCTGCTCGCCATCACATGTCAGCGGGTGTGGTGACAGCACAGGAAGGAAGGATGGGATGGGTGGACAATGGAGGAACAGTAGAAAGAGCAGTGGGACACAGAAGAAGGAGGTACACGGGAGAAGGAATGGGATATGGTGGATGATGGAGTATGGGCAGGAGGAAAGGGATGGAGGGTGATGGAGGAGCAACACAGGACAGCTGGGTTGGATTAGGTGGGTGATGAAAGAGTAGAATAAAGAGGGATGGGACATGGGCAATCAAACACCAGGGATGAAAGGGATGGGATACAAAGGATGATGTAGGAGCAAATGAGGGAGGTGTTGCCCACAAAATCGGATTCGTTACCTGGCGTGCAACAAGCCAATAATTACAGACACGAGAGAGACACTATTTATTTCAGAATTCCGCAAGCCTGGGTACTCGGTGGTACTCCCCAAATCGAGCTCAACCACTAGATTTTCACGAGAGCAGGAAGCCACGGGGAACGATGGGAACAGGGACGGGCTCCAGTGAGGCACAGCCCGCCCGGACGGTATCGCGCATGCGCGCGCCGGAGCGCCCCCCCCCCCCCCCCCCCCCCCCCCCCCCCC